AATAAATCAGTAATTTTAAGCAGTTTCTTTCTAAGTAAATGGATACATAGCCTTAAGGCAACTCCTGCCAGCTATTGCCTGCCAGCAGTCATTTCCGGTGGCAGTTCAGAAGATCGAATGCTGCCGTTTGCTACTACTCAGATTGTTCTCTCACTGTCATCACTTAATTGTTTTACTCAGTTTGTGTCAAGGCAGTTGTTGCCATATGTTTTTCAATACCGAAAATTTTAAAGCAGGAATAATACAGAGAATGCTAGCAGTGTTTGCACAAACTTGTATAGTAAAATTTTGCCCTGCTCACCCTCTGTGCTCATACCTGTGACCTCAGGGTGCTTCAGCAGGAGCAGAAGCCCGTATCTCAGGGTGGTGCTGGTGGTCTCTGTCCCAGCAGAAAACAAATCAGCTGCAGTGAATGTCAAGATTTCAAGGGTATATTCAGACTGCTGGTTGTGCTTTTCCTGTGAATGATTCAATGAAAAATTGTTTTCTGAATTTAAATAAGTATAAAGTAAATCAGATTATATAGTTAAGCCACCATGTGAACTAAAGCGAGTCAGCAGGTAAAATCTTAATGTGAGATAGTGGATTGTACAGTAGATGATCCATTCTTTATTTCCTACACCCTTCTTTTCAACATCCCTGTTTTGCGGTAATATCTATACATTTGGTTATTGCTTATAGTGATATTTGTATTGCTAATGCTTGAGCTCTTTGTAGAAGATTGAGCTTAGGACTGTAGAAAAAAAATAAGAGAAGGTGGTTGGAGTGAGGGAAGGAGGATGTCTTTCCGTTCTTAAAACTGTATGTATGAAATACATGACGTATGTTCCCTTCATGCAAATGGAAGCATGAAGAATTTGAAAATTCACTATCTTGTGTTTCACAATTTACTCAAAGTTATTTGCTTTCAGTGAGGTGTGCCTTCTGTTCCCTCAGGCAGATTGTCATTAGCCAAAGAGTGGAGTTGAGGGTTTTAGTGAATTTTAATTCTTCAGGATATTTCATGCAGATTGCTACACACAAGAAGTACTTACAGTACTTGTATAGCATGCCTTTCCTGATCATATATACATTGCAGGTAAATTAATAAAGAGAGCCATTAAATGTCATCAACTAACAAAATTGTTATTCATACTTCACCTGCTCCATTTTGATCAGGAAACAATCAATGAAGTCCCTAGGGTTGTTCACATCTAGGGATTGTTGGTGTTCTTTTACTTTCTCCAAAATAAAATTGATGATAAAATGCATATCTTCAATAAATTTGTTATGACTCCCCGGTAAATAATCAATGAGAACTGGAAAATTATTGCAGATCTAAAAAATAAACAAAATTATTTTACCAAATCAAAACATTTAGTTCACATTTATTTATGTTCATACAAATTGCATGAAAAGTGCAGGTTAGAAATTTTAGGTTTAAAAATATTTTTAGGGAATTTTAGGTTTAAAAATATTAGGGTATTTTACAAGACATTTATAGTCAGACTCTCAGAGAAATATGTGTGGGGGAAAACTTGGACCAGAGGTTTACATTTGATGCTCATGCCCTACAGGTATGCCCTCAAATGTTATTTTAGAAGTAAAAAAGAAATGGGGCTGGCATTGCGGCTTATGGGTTATTCTGCTGGCCTGTTTTGAGTCTTGGCTGCTCGTATCTGATCCAGCTCCTTGATATGCCTGGGAAAGCAGTGGAAGATGACTCAAGTGCTTGGACCCTTGAACTCATGAGGAGAAACCAGATGAAACTCTTGGTTCCTGGTTTCATCCTGGTCCAGCCCTGGCTGTTGCAGTCATGTTAGGAGTGAACCAGCAAATGGAAGATCTCTCTATTTCTCATTCTTTCTCTGAAACTCTGCCTTTCAAACAAATCTTAAAAAGAAATAAAGATAGATTTATGTTAAGTCTATAATTTTTCAAAACAAATATTTCCTATAATCTGGAAATACATGGTCGCACGAATGACCACAATTAATATTTTGTAGATCACAACAGACATTAAGGAAGTTTGAGTTCCTAACAGTGAGCACAATGTTCATCTCTGCTGTTTCTCACTTGCAGCCTCAGATGTAGAGCAATTATTTAGAACAGGGAGAGTTTGGAAAATGCCATTCCATCCTGTTGAACATTTTATTGATAAAGTTGCTTTGCACAAGAAGAGTTCAGCCACTTCTCAAAAATCTCATGAGTGTCTTTTAAAAAGTAATGCAGGACGTATTAGCTTAAAATAGAAAGATCTTTTGTCCAGTGGTTTACTTCTGAAATGGGCACAATGGCTGGAGCTGAGCCAATCCAAAGGCAGGAGGTAGAAGCCAGGGGCTTCTTCCGGATGTTCCATGTGGCTGCAGGAAACCAAGTCACTGGGTGATCCTCTAGTGTTTGCCCAGGCCACAAGCATGTTGCTGGATGGGAAGCAGAGCAGCCAAGACATGAACTGGTGCCCATATGGGATCCCAGTGCTTGCAAGTGGGAGGATTAGGCAATTGAACCATTGTGCCAGGCCCTAACAGAGTATTTCAGCCAAGAATCGTGCTTCCCAATCATGGTATCCTCCACGAAATGCTCAATGTCTTGGTCTATGTCTTTATTCATGCTTTTGTACAGCCAGCAAAGTGCTTTATGAAAATGGGTGCTGGGGTCCGTGCAGTAGGTGTGAATAACACGAAGGTGTGAAGAGAACAGCTCCCCTGCTTGGCAGGGCCCAGGGGAGCTTCCAGCTGTTTGGCAGGGCCTGGCGAATTTCTCTCTGACCACCTTGACACAGTTTCACCCCCTTTTGCATGGACACTCAACCACCCCACTAAGAATTTTGTAATCTATTGAGGTATGGTTTGCCCTGTGAGATGGCTTTTGCAATCAACATGAGCTTGAGAGTTAATGTTATTGATAATGTCTTGATGAGTGGGCCTTTAACTGCACACAGGAGTACAATTAAATCCATGCCATTTCTAGACACCTTATTTTGTGCCTACCCATTGCCATGAAATCTGGCCCAGACATTTAGCATGCTTTCTGGGAAATGGCTTGATAAGAATTTTACAAACTAATGAAAGTGATGAGAGTATGGGCTGAAACTGCTATGACAAAAAATTTAGCTACTGGGACCCTAAAAGCTATCCTGTTACTGGGACCCTAAAGGCTATCCTGTTATAGCTACCATAATCCTAAAGGCCATCCTGCTATGACAAAAAATATAGTTACTGTGGCCTTAAAGGTTAGCCTGCCCTTGCAACTCTTTAGAACATAGAAAATGTAGTTGTTTTAGCTGCTTTCATAATTTTTTAACTAGAGGAAATATAGGATGATTTTACTAACATCATAAAAATATACTTTTGATTATTGTTTGATTGTTTCTGAGGTTGTAGAGCCTGCAGTTGTAGAGGGATTTAATGTTTGAAACTTTTTGTCTTAGATCTTTATGTTTTTTCTCTTTTGATGTATTTCTCCAATTAAGTGATGAATAAGCTGTAGAATAAGAATTGTAGTAGGAGAGTATTCCTGAATAAGATGTGTTGTCTACTGAGAAATCCTTAGCGGCAACATCAGAATGGATAATGTCCTGTCTTAAGGTGAAACAATTTGTAGAATTATCTTTAGAGACATTCACTTGTCCATTGTAGAGTTGAAACTTAAATGGAGTAAACATGGTTCATTGCTAATTGCAATTCTTTCTACCATTATAACTCTTGCTTTACTTGTTTAGTTAACAAACTGTGTGAGCTTGCAGGCCAAATGGCCAGCGTGACCTTTAGTGCCAATGGCCCCCAATCCCCATAAACCAAGACCCCAGACTTACTAACCCACACATAATTCAAGGTAGGGGTCTGGTTGTCACAGGTATGCTAAGGATAGAACCCAGACTTGAGGAGAGCAGGCGGGGCTGGCAAGCCAAGATAAACAAGGAATGTGGAATCCTTTCTCACTCAACTCTCAAGCAGTTGTAAATTGTGCTCCCCTTGAAGCTATGTCAAATTGCCCCTAAAGAAAACTTTGTAATTGTACTGCTTGGGGCCACACTCTGCGGTCGAGTGGGTGCAACACCATGTGGGTGCAACACCATGATGTAAAAGGTCTGTGCCAGAGCTTGTGACTGTTTCTGTATAACTAAAGCAGACAGCTTTCTCGCATTGTCCACAAAGATCTTGGAATTGTAGTGGCCCATTTCTCTTCTTTCTACGCCTATTTCACACACCCTTCTCGAGCTCTGAACTCAGCTCGAGCTGGACTCCAGCAATGGGGCTTTGGAGCTTAGTGGAAACCCCACTGGTCAGTGAGCCACTGAGTTTGAATGTCTGTGAGGTATTTTGGCATGGGTAAAATACAGTGTGCAAAATATAGTGCTTACCTGTAGTAGTTCCTAGATGTCCACTGATAATACTGAGCTCAGTGCAGAACTTTAATGTCCTAAGAGTTGCTTCACAGCTTGGTCAATTAGAATGATCAATAAATGACATAAATACTCTCTTGTAATAAAAGGGGTTTGATCTCACCTGGATCCATGGGGAGCTCAAGATACTGAGGCCTTCATTCAACAGTTTCAAAAACTTAAGAAAAAATTTATCTGTATATTCAAAACGGTCCTGGAAAATAATGGAGCAGATCACATTGCAAGGAGCACAACCTAGGATAGAGGTGGGATCACAGGGCGACGCTGAAAAAAAAATATTTACAGACATTTGTTTTACAGAAAAATTTCAGCAGTATACATCAGCCAGTCAACTTACACCACCCACGTGGTGAGAGGAGGAAAGAATTCATACCAATACAACTCTTTGATATCTTTGGCTATTTCTAGCAATAATAAATATCTTAAACAAGTGTCACAAAGTGTCTAGTTTGTTTTTTGAAATGGGAAAGTTACACATTTCAGAAGTGAATATAAATTATGAATCAGGAATAAACCTAATGCTCCAAGTAGGAGTGATGGTTAATAAACTAAGATACATTGAATTTGTTCAAGCACTGGTATTTCGATATATAAGGATACAGCATATATAACAGTGCTCACTTCTGCAGCACATATACTAAAATTGGAATGATACAGAGAAGATTAGCATGGCCCCTGCACAAAGATACAGCATATATAACAGCTATAATGAGAAGTGAAAAGAGATTCACCTAAATGAAAATATTAGAACTAATTTAAGTACAAAAAGTAGTTAGAGCCCATGGAGTACAAAATTTGACAAATCAATGTTTACATGTCCCATTTGGCCAGTGGCCCCGATACTGGCCCTGTCAGTTCTCTGCTGCCTTCAGTAGCTTGAAGGGGCTCAATTTGTCATCACATAGCTGGTAGAACCAGGCATGGTGGTAGGTCTGTGATGAGTTCCTCCATAGATTGCCATATGGAGCCAAGAGCCTTGTTGATTAAAATTTGCAGAACTAGATGGAATAGTTGTGGTGAAAGTGGGCTCGTTATCCAGTTCTGGGTCTTAGTGGAAATGCTTCTAGCTTTCCCCCATTCAATATGATACTGGCTGGTGGTTTGTCACATATTGCCTTGATTATGTTTATGCATGTTCCCTCTATACTCAATTTGCTTAACATTTTAAAATTTATCATAAAAGGATATTACATGATATGAACTAATTTTTCAGCAATTGTTGAGATAACCATATGGCGGTGATTCTTCATTTTACTAACATGATGTGCATCGTTTATTGATTTGGATGTATTAAACCATTCATGCATCCCTGGGACAAATACCATTTGTTCTAAGATAATCCTCTCTTTTGCAACTAAATGGATGTGATTAGAGACCATTATGTTTAGTTCAAGAAGCCAAAATCCAAATAGACAAATACTATATTTCTTTCTCAGAACAACAACAAAACCCACCTGAATGTGTAAGAGTAAAACTGAGTAATATGCTATGATTTAATTATTATTTCTATAACCCCTGTTGGTATTCTTGTGCAAAAATAGTCTTTCTACTTGTGAAACACTAGATTTGGTGGAAGATTTTGCCTATAATTGTAAAGGAAATCACAAAAAGTTAAAGAAAGCAAGCAAGGAGAAGCAAGGGGGGGAAGGAAGAAAGCAAGAAATATTCTAGCTATGAAATCTGTTCTCTTCATATGAATGAAAAGGTTTTAAAGACATAAATGAGCAATGAGTAACAGCAAACCTTCCGGTTCTCTAACCCAGGATAGGAACCTTTAAACATGACAGAGCTGGTAAGATTTCAGAACAAAAGTTCATTCTAGCTACAGAGACAGAGGAATTTGTGAAGACATGGAATTTCTTGTGTGTATATGTCTAATAGGTAAAAATTGGATTTTCAAACTTTTGCTTCATTTAGGAATGATACTTAAGAGCAGTATAATTCAGATCCAAGTAAAAAACTCCAGATCACATGAAAACACATTAAGAATTACTGGAGCTGACAGGGGTGAATAATCACCTTAAAATCCTAACTCAAATTTCAATAAAAAGGACAAAAAATTAGAAAAGAAAACCTTGACGGCAGAGCAAAGTAACAGGGGTAGGTATGAATGATAGTTGAAATCAAGGTAAATTTTATAGTTCCACATTTGTTTGATCAGAAGAAGATTACGCTATTTGAAATAGATTATGCAGTAGGCAACATGAAAGTGTACTGGTAAAATTTTTCATGTGTGATTTATTTCCAGAGAAATTGCAAAGAATGAGATTTTGTGATGTAACTAAACCAGATGTTGGCATCATAACTGGTAGAAACAGCAAGCCCCAGCCTTTGAAGAAATCCTCAGGCAGGTCAGTAAGGCTGTCAAATGTAGCCATGGAAAGTGAACTCACATGCCGCTTGATTTGGTTTCCTAGGAGTAGAGAGAGTATTTTCACTGTGAATGCTGGCATGTTGTTCATGGTGAAATGCTGTTGAATCGAGACTTTACAATGTTAAGAGAAGCACTGTCTTTCTTTAAGAAAATGAAGTTCATATACACACACTTAGTTGAGCCATTGCTGTTGTAGTTAAATCCACATTTAAAGGAAGCTAGAATGAGGAGCCAGAGGAGGACTCATGCAGGTATTCCCAAAAGAGACAAGTATTCTCAGTTCACGTGAGGACACAGACACTGCTTTTCATCACCACCATAGAATGAAGAAACAACATCCCAGGGATATCTAACACTGATATGCTGTCTTCTGATTCAGGAGTGAGAAAGTAAACTCTCTAAGCTTTGGCAGATGTTCTGTGTATCACCTAGTCATTTTTGTCATCATCAATATAAATGCCTGTTTCAATAAACACCTTTATGATAAACACTGAAAAAAAAAAAGAAAATGAAGTTCAAAATCCTCTACCCGCCTGTTGTAAAAGTTTAAAAATAAAGAAACAAATGTGGACAGACAGAAGATATCACGGCGTTTGACAGTCATGCCACAGGTAGAATCATCCATGTCCACAAACAGCATAGATACACATAAGCTTTCCTGGCTCTCTGCTCCAAACTATCATTGCTCTAATTGGGAGCTGACTGCAGAGTCTCAGAAGAGAAGGTCTGGAAACCCATAAAATGTTTCTGAGGGCACTACAGAGATGAAGTCAGTATGAGAGGGTCAGTGGTGCAGAGTAAAAGGTCACCCACCATTGGTTTTCCTCAATTCCTCCACCAGGTAGCAGGCCTCCTCTTGAATTCGGTTCTCAATACTCCTCTTCCCCACCCCGAAATTCCGCAGGGTGGTGATTGAGAAGCGGCGGATCTCTTTCCATCTGTTTCCATTGCTAAGAATGAGTCCTGCCAGGAGGAGAGTAGAGATTTAAGAGAAGGATCCTAGACGAGGAAGAGGGAAAAGACACTCAGCAGCCACATGTATGGACTAAGCTCTCTCGAGAAGCTCTTGAAGTTTGTGGTTTTCATCTTCTGTCTCTTTGCCACTCTCTAGAACATTCACACATTTAGGAACAAACATGCACACAGACGCATATACACTCACCAAGACCTTTATTGATTTTTTCACCCAATGGGAAAGGGCCTCTCCCGGAAAACTCCTCTCCCAGATCAATTAGTGCCTCCTTCACAGCCTCGTATCCATGCAGCACCACGGTGGGCTTCAGGCCCAAATACAGGGTGAACACAGGGCCGTAGACTTTCGAGAGCTGGGAAAAGAGGAGCAAAATTTATCTAGAGAAGCCATTATTTGGTTTACATATTGTGTTATTTAAGCTTTCATTTAAAACACATGATTCTGTCATACACATTTTCAAATAATTCTGGACTTGATTCTTTAATGTGATTATTGTGGGTGCTTGAGATGGTATATGGTGTATCAAGAACTACAGTATATGGTTTATATAGATTGCCATTAGCTCACCACCTTGAAGCAGGTTTATGTATTCTGCATTATAAGTGGAATTGAAGACAGATAAGAAAATCAAGCACACAGTGTCAAAATTTGTACAACAGATTTGCATTTGAATCTTGTCTCTGTCAGATTCTGATGCTTGAGTACAGCCAGTTCCCAGTGCCACCACATACAGAGAAAATCCCGCTGACCACTTAGGCATTATCAGCACAGCTTTTCCTAGAGGGATTGTTATAGCATCCTCTTAAAAAAAATTACCAGGTCTGTGAGTCTTTAAAAATGATTGTGGGTGACAGTAAGACTCACTGTACTTGAGACTGTGGAGATTTGCAGCACAAAAGAGAGAGAGTAAACCCAAGAACAAATGTAGGGGCCGGTATTGAGGTGTAGTAAGTTAAGCCACTGCCTGCAATGCTGGCATTCCTAATCAATGCCAGTTTGATCTCCACATGCTCCAGTTCCTATCTAGATCTCTGCTCATCCACCTGGGAAATCAGCAGAAGATGGTTCAAGTTCTTGGGGCACATGTACTTATTTGGGACATCTGTGTGCAACTCCTGGCTTCTGCCATTGTGATCTTTTGGGGAGTGAACCAGTGAGCAGAGGTCTCTCTCTCTTGGTGTGTAATTGACTTGAAAATAAGCAGTTTTATAGTTGTATTTATATCTTCAGATATAAATGTGCTGCTGAATATAAGATCAAAGAGATTGTTCCCTATGTTTTCTTCAGAATCATTTATGATTTCAGGTCCTCTAGATCCCATTCAAATGGAATAGAATTGCTGGTTGCAAGAGGCCTGGATGGTTAGGTGGATGAGAGAGATGAAAGATACTCTTCAAAAGTACTTAGTTATGGGTAGATAGCAGGGCTACTTCCAAATTTCAAGACAGCCAGTTATAGAGAGACAAAAGGTAGAAAATTGATTGTTTAGACCTGGGCATAGTGGAAAGAGGCTGGATGACATGGATGATATGGATATGGAGCATCTTTCTTGATTGATAAAATGTTATAAAAACTGCTTAAAGTTTTAATTTGTATAAATTTGTTTTAACTGTACATTTTAGATAAGTGAATTGCATGATATTTTATTTAGTCTCAGTAAAGCATTAAGAATGTGGATATAGGGTCTGGTGCAATGACTCAGTGGCTGAATCCTTGCCTTGCATATGCACCAGGATCTCATACGGGCACCGGTTTGTGTCTCAGCTGCTGTACTTCCCATCCAGCTGACTTTTATGGCCTGGGAAAACAGGGAAGGATGGCTCAAAGCCTTGGGACTCCACACCCCCATGGGAGACCCTGAGGAAACTCCTGGTTGCTGGCATGGATTGGTTTAACTCCAACTGTTGTGGCTATTTGGGGACTGAACCAGTGCCTACAAGATTTTTCTCTCTGTCTCCCCTTCCCTCTGTAAATTTGCCTTTCCAATAAGTATAAAGAAAATCTTTTAGAAAAGAATATGTTTATAAGGAAAATTGAAATTATGTTATGACAAAAATTAAAAGAAAAAATGAGAAAGGAAGGATGGGAGATTGAAAGAGGGAGGGGTGAGGGAAGAACAGTTTTCTCCTTGGAATTGTATCTGTGAAACACACCAAACTATTTTCTTTATATTAATATATTTTTAAAGGAAAGATAAATCCAGATAGATTTAAGTAGCCTTAATAATGCATAGACACAAATAGAATTAACCCAGAAAAGCAACAGGAGCACTTTATAACAACTAAAATGATAGAGATATTTAAGGTAGGGAAAATAGGCAAAGTGGATGAGAAGTATATATATATTTTTTTTTTATTATATTTTGACAATTTT